CTAAGCCCTTTGGGAAAATGCCAGAGAACTAAGCAGGTAGAACATGATATTCAACCCAAGAACTTGAAAGTACCACCCTCTGGGCTTCTCTGTGCCATCAATGGGCCATTCGTAAAGTACAGCACATGGACTCCATGTATGCTTCACCTGAAAATGGATGCAATATAGCTGCCTTAGTGCAGCGCTTGGGGCATGCCAATAAGCATACCCAAAACAGAAAGCTGAGTGCACATGTCCAGAGCTGACTTCAGGAAGCACACTCTTTTGTACTACAACATGAACAGAGGAAGTCTTCTGTGTCTTGTTGCAGTGTTCCCTAGAGCAGTCCTTGACAATGTAGACATGCTCTCTGGATTACTTACTTAGTTCAGCTGCCTGCCAAGACATGCACCTTAATTAGCTGTCAGGCTTCTAAAGGCATCAACATTATAAATGCATGTAAGACCAACAACAGGTGTTTCTGCTAGTACATAATAAAAGTCTGTCTTTAAGGAAAATTTTGTCCCAGCACAAAGTCTGCTCAGGCCAAATTTCATATCTGATGATTATATTTTTCTTACCTAGGTTCTCCTCTGCAGTTACAACTAGGTAGAATATGTTTCATTTGTCAGGGTTGCTATGCACTGTACCAATTGCTGCATTATGCTCCCAAGATAGCTGCATTTCAGTTGTCAGTGAACTAATTCTGCATAATAGTTAGTGTATAAAGTGCTTTGAGATCTTTTGAAATCAACGCAATATATAAAATATGAGACAGTATGCTAATGTTTCCAGATCAAGGTAATAACTATTTTTCCCTGTAGTAGCCTCCTTGAGGTACTTTGCCAGCGAGGTTTTATTTATTTATTTATTCGCAAACTAGATACACTAAATCACAAAACTAAACAAGCAAGAAGAAAGCATCTCTGCTAGTTGAAATAGGCTGTAGCCTATGACAGCTTACGCCTTTCTGAATGAGTTAGTCTTTACAGTGCCACCCTGCCCTGCCTTCTGTCTGACCCTTAAGAAGAATGAAGTCTCCAGGTCAGGATTAATGTTAATAGGGAAATAGTGCGGCTGGAGGTGCAACCAGGAAAAGAGTCAAACTGCTTTTAATTATGCAGTAGCTACATTAAGAAATATGGGGCCTGGTCCTGTTCTGTATATTACATACTTAAGTAGCAACAACATGCAATTCTATTCCACCCTGCTTGGGTCCCTGAAAAAAGTGAGCACAAATGCATCTTTCTCCAGCTCATTGCTTTTTCAGGATTTTCTTGTAAGCCATTGGTTCTCAACCTTTTTAGACTTGTAACAGCCCTCAGAAAATGCCAGCTTTGTTTTCACTCATTTTTTGACTACAGAAAAATAATAGACCAATTCTCTTGCAAAGAACTCAGAAATATCACAACAGGTGATATTGTTTTAGACATTATGAATTCCTATTTGAGATCTCTGGGTTTATTTTGTGAATCGTGCTTGTGCACCTAACAGTGCTTAACACTGTGTGGCACCCCATGGTACCCCTGAAAAGATCTCAAGGTACCCCAGAGTGCCATAACACTGGTTGAGAAACACTATTCTAAGCTAAGATAAAGGCATGTTACAAAAGTAGGCACATTAACATTTTCTTTTTAAATTTGACTTTAACAAGGTGCAATAGGATCATACTTTGGCACCTAATAGGTGGAAATAGGATTAGGCTCCTATCCTTACTTTGAAGTTATTTATAGATTTCAATCTACCATGAATATGCACTGAATGAACCCCCTGGCGAATGTACATCTAGGTCAAGATTTAAAAATCTTAAATCTATTCAATCTACTAGCTACATAAAATAATTCATTCTCCATCAGCCTGACAGTACCAGCAAAATTTACATAGTTCCTTATTTAAAAAATTCACACAACTGTACCAGCGAGACTGGAGACTTGGCAGGCTGTGACAAATAAACTATATGAAAGCGACAAATCTTTCCAAACTTCAGGATATCAGCAAAATTTAAGAGATTGATTATACATCTGTTATGTTGTTACATTTAAAAGCAGGGAAAGTCTTAACTGTTGTAGGTACAAGGCTATCAGAATAAGAGTATTTATTCTAATGTGTGGGTACTTAACTAAATTAATCCTCATGTTGTGTAACAGCTTTTTAGTTTCACATGGTTTATACTATCCCCTGAAGCTTCTGTTGGTTTTAAGAATCTGATCAGCCCCCCAAATCCTGGCTCTGTCCTTGAATTTTATCACATCATAAGACACCCATGCCCACCTCAGCAGAGGTGTTTAAATCTCCCCAGGAGGCAACTTCCTGTCTTAATACAATGTTACCAAGTTTCTTTTATCAATCTTAAGGCTCCTTTCCCCCTTTTTAATGCAGGGATTCATGGGTCAAACAAACTTCCTGTAGAGAAGTGAGGGAAAGTGTCAGTCAAAGCTCTGAGGGATAAAAAAAGAAGGCAGGAGGAAACAGGTAGTAAGCCAAGTAATCAAGTTGTCCACCACAGGGGCATTTCTGGGGAGTTGCAGAACCTTATTTCCTCAGCCTTGCACATCAAAATGGTAAAGTAAAGGAAATACTGATAACATCTTGTGTACTAGTACAGTAAATAGAAGACGAGCTTTCTTTCCTCCACGGCCAATGCCTGACATTTTGAGAGGCCTTAAAAAAAAAAAAAAAAAAAAATCAGAAAAAAATCCTGGACCTTAAAAAAAAAAAAAAAAAAAAAATCAGAACAAAATCCTGGCACTGCTGGAATTAATGGGATTTTTTTTTTGCCACCAACTCTGATAGACCCGGAAATTTACCCAACACCTTTACATATTTCCTTTTGTTCAGAATACCTTTTCTTCCTACAAGGGCGTCTAAAGATGCAAATAAAACTATGGAGTAGTACCCTGTTCTGTTTCTGAATAGAAAAGCTTCTCCTGTTAAGCAACTGTTTTCTGACCATCATTTAAAGACATGTTGCATTGCATAATAAATAAGGGAAGTCTGCTTTGGATACACTTTTCTATAGCAAAAAAAAAAAAAAAGTCTTAGCTTTATTGGGTTCCAGTGTTCTGTTTATCAATAATGCATTCCCAGTCTGAGCGAGTATGATGGGAGGAACACTAATATTCAAACTAGTTTAAAAGAAGTTCCTTTAAAATTTCCCTTTGAGACATTTACAAAAATACGCAGCTAATTTATCGTACCTAATGTGTGTGTTTGTTCTGAGAGGTCATTAGCACAGAAATTTGACAGTTTACCACTTTTCTGTTTTAAACTGACAAATTACAGGTTTTAATGCTTGCTATTTTGCAGAGACAATAATTTAGTACTTTAAACTTGAGTGCAGTAGGAATTTATCCCCCTGCTTGAGGCTTTACAATTTTACAGATATTGTATATAATTCTAGCATGAATACCACTTTATCCATCTTTTTAAAAAGCTATTTATCTATCTAATAATACAATATTCCCTTATAGAAATAGGAAAAATATGCATTCTAAAATAAACTGTACTAGAGGTATAACTGGTAGTTCTTGCCATAATGAGACCCTTTTTAAAGTTGTTCATAACCTTGTCAAATTAACTGGTTGGACTAAGATTTTACCTGCTGGCTATCTGCCTCCAGCTGATTTCTTTTTAGAAAATTTCATCTAAATTGTTTCAGCCTTTTCCGAAAATAAGTCTTAGAGAAAAATTTGCATAATGTAGGCAACCTTTCCTTTGAATCGTTCTAAGACCCCCATAGCTTTGCAGTAGAAACTCTGGACATGTTTTGTGTTGCCTCTAAAAATCTGTCCATATTTCCTTGTTAAAAGCCTTTGTGGGAGAGAAAGAAAGTTGTTTGCACATGCTCAGGGGCTGCCTTGGTCTTAGCAGCTTACAAACTCCAAAAAGATATTCTGAATAACCTTGCTGAATGTGCTTCACCTCAATGCTAAATAGTGTGCAATAGTCTTTGCAAATGCCATCCTCACAGAGCAACTAAGAATGCTTTTACCAACCCAGGACTATGGGACTTTCCAGACATTATCTTTAAAGATTGCCCTCAGTGCTTCAGGCTGAGCTAGAGTAGTGTCTTGGGGGTTTTTTGCTTCCTCATTAGTTCCCCTGCTGGGCATCAAGATAGCATGAAGGAGAATCAGCCATGCGATTCATATGTAGCAGAGGTACAAACCAGATTACAGTCTTCCTATAATCCCTTGCTTCATTCAACACACACCTTTCACCTGTGGTAGCCAACGTGTTTCCAGTGATATTATGCCTATCTATACTAGTGATGAACTAAAGACCCTTAATAACCCAGAGCTCTATTTTGGTACCAAAGGATAGGAATATATAAACAAGTTATCATGAGACAAGCTAGAGTGTAAATATATATATTATGACAGCTACTCCATGGTAACTAGGTACATGCATGCTCTTACAGCATAGTAAATGCAAGGTAACTTTCTCCTCAGTTAAAGTACAGTAAGAACATGCGGACAGGCCACTACTATGGAGCATCAGAAGCTATATAAGTTCATACCCAACCTCAGCTTGCAGTGACTTGTTCATGTGACCATACTCCAAAAATAGTCTTTTAAAGGCAAGTAAGTTACCAGTATTATTTGAAGTTTTGTATGATGTTGTGAAAAAGTACAAATCAGTGTCCACTATCAATTAGTTTTCAGAGAATTCTCCATACACATATGGTGCTAACCCATGCTCACAATTATATTAATTGCATATACATATTAAATGGGCAACTGTACCCATAAAATGTGGAAAGTATGCTTATGAAATACATACCTGACCATTAAGTCCCCAGTTCAGCAAATATTTATGCACCTGAGAAGTTCCACCGAGGTCCGCACGCCCATACATAAAATATAGCATGTGTGAGCCCTTGCAAGTTCAGGGATCAGGGAATGCTTTGAGAAATGAATATCCAAATATGCCATTTTACACATTTCATAAGAAGAGCTATTCAATGCTTATGCAGGATGCTTTATGAAAAATCTAGTACAAGATTGCATTAAAAACTCACAAGCAACTTTATAGCAGGCATTTAGCAGCACAGATTTTTATTTGACTTCAAAATAATGGGATTTATTTAGATTTATAATATTGCAGTAATTACTTAAAGCAAATGTACATGTTAGAATTTTTAGTAGGTGCTATTTATCAATTTTGAAAATGTGCAATAGGGTATAAGAAAATATAAAATTGGGTTAGCAAAATATAATAATGGAGCTTTACAAGAGAGGCATACATACCATGTTATTTGAACTAAGTCTATCAGTTAAACATTTTGTAACAGCCTTCCACTTACACTCACCGAGAAGTTAAAATCAGGAACACTAATACAAAGGAGAACTCAACCCACTTTTAAGACTAAAAGCTAGTATATTTAAGAAAAAGTGGGAGGGAAATCCATCTCAGATGCATTTCTTCCTTATTAGGGTTTTCCCTTTTTCCACAAAGAACTTCATTTTTATTAAGAACTAATGAAAGCCAGTTTATCAGCAACACTGGCCACCAAATGTCATTCCTTTTACTATATAAGAGTCAGTTTAACTACTTTGTACAATTAATAGCCATAATGTCAGGTGTTTTATATGCAAAGAATTAGGTACTTGTGAAAATCTTACCATGCTTCTTAAAAAACTGTTACTGTGTAGCCAAAACAAACAACCCCTTTTTCCACCAATCAAATGATGCAAAATCCTGGAGTTTGCTGTGACCTGGACAACCAAAAGCAGAGAGATCTGCATGGGATCGGGATCATGACTTGTGACCACTGACTAAACCCAAATATTTCTCAAATGAGCTACAAGAAGGTTCCCAAAAAAGCATTTGGTTTGTAATAGTGTCTGTTGTTTAAAAACAGCTCACAAATTCTCCTCCTCACGTAAAAACTGGAACACGGCTGAGAAGTCTTTCAGGGCATAGCCCTTTGCACACATCATCCTGTAGATCTGATGTGCTAGAGATCCCAGGGGGACTGGTGTCTTAGTGTTGGTAGCAGAAATCTGTGCCAGGCCAAGATCCTGAAAATAAAAAGAAGGGGAAAACAAGGATGTAAACAGCATGCGAGTATGATCAGTTTACCCTCCATTGTACAGAGAAATCAACTGCCAGCAAAATGCAGTACTAATGCCCTGGGAAAAAATGAATCAGCCACACAGTGTTTTTCAATGGCACTGGAATTCATTGTGTAAAGCACGCAACCTCCTCCAGGACAACTAGAACATTATAAGACTCTAGGCCTCTGTGCACTCTGCTAAGACTCTTGGCTTCTATGCACACTGACAGCATGACACAACACAATGTATTATTTTTCCTTCTACAAATCTCTTTGAAGTACAAACCCTATCTAAGCCATTCACTTAAACATTTAACATTGGTTTCAGAACACAAACTATTTCTATGCTTGGGGTATAGGGAATGTATTCTTCCTAAAAGTAAAATTAAATGAAGATGTTTTAGCTAATGTGACTTCAGAAGAAACACAAATCAAAATAATCTTTTTGGATTCATAAAGAAAGACTTCTAGAAAACATATTCCAAGGTTTGAAATGTTATGTGTTCAGTCTGAAAAGTACTGCAGTCTAAACCAGTGGTTCTCAACCTTTTTGGACTCAAGGCACCCATTGGAAAATGCCAGATCTTAGTTTTAACTCAATTTTTAAATACAGGAAATTAAGAGAGTGCTCAAAAGAACTCAGAAAGTGTTAAAAACAATCTGACACTATGTGGTCTATCAATGCCTATTTGAAAACTCTGGGTTTTCTTGTGAATCATGTTTGCACACCTAACAGTGCTAACATCGTGTGGCACCTCATGGCATCCTTGATAACATCTCAAGGCACCCCAGGCTGCCATGGCATCCCAGTTGAGCCTCACTGGTCTAAACATTTCCTAAAGATGTGTTCATAAAGAGGGGACTTCTTAAAAGCAGACACATTCATTTTAAAGCTTCAAAATCACCTTAAAGAAAGTAGGATTTTTGTGGACGATACCGTTCATTGGATAGCCTGCGTGGTTGGGATAAGTTGGATAAGCTTTTTAGTGCAAGACATTCTGCATCAGGTCTTAAAATAACTAATTTCTGATAAAGCTGTAAAATCAAGTCATGTGTTTAAGAACCATGAAGGATGACAATGACTTTTCCTAACAATAAAGATGAGTGGTGCATTTTTTTTATACCAAGAGAAATAACACAAAATATAACCGACAGTCTGGCTGAAACAAGTTGGTATGGACACTCCCACTAGTAATAAGTTACAGAATCAATGGGGCCACCAGGTCCTAGCACCTTCCTCCCCCCCATATCACTTTTATTTCAGTAAAATATTGCTAATAAAGGTGCTAATAAAATTATATAGACACAGAAAGGGAAAGAACAAGAAAAGTATCAGAGAGTTTTTGATTAGTGTGAATGAATTTAAAATCAGCAGGGCCTGATGAACTTCATCCAAGGTGCTGAAGGAATTGGCAGAAGAGATCTTGGAGCCCTTAGCAATAATATTTATAAAGTTGTGGGAGACAGGCAAGATTCCAGGTGATGGCAAAAGGACCAACATAATGCTTACCTTTTAAAAAAGGCAAAAAGGAGGGGAATTATAGACTGCTCAGCCTGACTTCAGTATCCAGGAAGCTACTGGAGCAAATTAAAACAAAGACAGTTTGTAAACCCTGAGAGGAAGAAAGGTTGATCGCTTACAGCCCGCTTGGATTCGTTAAGAATAAATCATTCCAAACCAACTTGATCTCATTCTTTGACATGACGAAGTAACTAGTGAGGTGGATAAGGGGAATGCAGCGGACATGGGATACTTTATCAAAAGCCTTACTACAGTTCAAGTCCCAAATCACATTCTCATAAACAAATTGGACATGTGTGGGCTAGATAAAATTACTGCAGGGTGAACTGATAACTAGCTCAATAGCCACACATAAAGAGCAATTAAAAAAGGATCAATGTTGGAATGGCAAGGGTCTTCAACAGGCATTCCACAGGGGTCTCTCCAAGGTCCAGTGCCATTTAACATGGCTATTAATTATTTAGTTGCTGGAACAGAGATCAAGCTTGCAGATTACACAAAACTGGAAAGCATTACAAAACTAGTTTAGAGGACAGGAGTAGAATTCATAAGGGCCTTGACAATCTGGAAAGATCAACAGGATCGAGTTCAATGCAGACAAATCTAACGTGCTGCACCTAGGGAAAAATAATCAAAAGGACAAACAGAAGAGGGAATACGACTGCTGATTTATACTGAGACTGTAATCCACCAAACCCCTAGATCCTTCCCAGCAGTGCTACCACCAAGGCAATGTGACAATCTGAAAAACAACAAATGCAATTTTGGGCTGCCTCAGTAGGGGTATTAGGTATAAGACACAAAAGGTGACAATACCAGTCTATTTGGTGCTAACTAAGCCTCCTCTAGAGTATTATGTGTAGTTCTGGATTCCATATTTTAAGCAGGATATAGAGAAGTTGGAGAGGGTTGGGAGGGGGGTGACAATGATAAATGGTTCAGAAGGCACACCATATGAGAAAAGGTAGTGAGAACTTAACGTATTTAGTTTGGAGAACAGGCGCGTAGGAGGGGGACATGACAGCAGTCTCCGAATATGTGAAAAATTGCCATAAAGAGGGAGAACTATTCTCTCTTGCCACAGAGCACACCTGCCTGGTCTCGTATAGGCGCTCTCTAGCGAACTTAGAGCACAAACCCAGATCTGGCTGTGGGGTGTGTCCCCGGAACCTGTGCATTAGATCGCATTCACCCCTGAGGGAAGCCCTGACCATCTCCTGCCACGACTTGATCTTCTTTTCTTCAGTGCTGGGGCCCCCCTGGCAGATTCTCGCAGACCGGGTGCTGCCCTTTGTAGGCGTTCTTGGGGCTCCACCTCCCCTACACCCCAGCCATATGCCAGCCCTCAGGACAACCAGATGATGAGTCGTTGGCTTGTCCCTTTGATGTTCTCGCCTGCTCTCTTATCTCCTTGCCCGTCCCTCAATGCCCCTTTATCCTGGATGACTGTGGGGTGTGGGACCATCCTCGTCTCTGCATCTGCTCTCCCTCTGAGGTGTTGTGATCCACTGTGCTGCCTCAGCTCTTCGCCTTCACCTGGGGTCACTTGGAGGATCCTTCCCCGGTCTGGGCTCTGTGCACTCTCCAAAAACAACAAATAAAAGAAAGAAGAAAAGAATAGTTGGGGCATGCCTCAGCCCACCCCACTCATGGATGTGGCATCTGTAGTCCTTGGGATCCCTCAATTCCATTCTCCTTGGCCCGGCTGCCCTGCCAAGCCGGGCGGGTACTTCTTTTAATGGAGCTGGGACCCCTCCTGTGTGCCCCCGTCTAGCCCCCTGCTGAGCTGCCGACGCGCAGCCCAGGGAGCAGCTTCTCCTTCTGGCTCCAGCACGGCTTCCCCCGCTTCCATTTCCCCGCTGCCGTCTTTTAAATCAGCTGGGTGGCAGTTTTTGATGATATCATCTGCCAATGCCTTTCCCAGCCAAAAATAAAAGTGGCTGATGAACCCCATCAGCGGCCCTTCTCGGCGCGGCTCTGCTTCTCCTGTAAACAATAAGTGTGCCCTCTTTTCATTTCTTTCTTCGGGCAGGTCAACCCTGCCTTGGGTCCCACCGCGGGAGGATGCTTCAAGGCCTCTGCTTGTGTCCCCCTGGGACACAGAGAGCAGGACACAAAACAATGGCTTTAAATTGCAGTAAAACAGATTTAGCAGGAAAAGCTTCCTTACTGTTAGAACAGCAAGGCAGTAGAATAATCTGCCCAGGAAAGTTGTGGAATCTTTGCACTTGTTTAGTGGGTTCGACCAGGTGACTCCTGAAATCCCTGCCAACCCCCTGACTCTATGATCATATGAAAAAAAAGACATCACCCTTAGTAGCAGGAGCACAGGATTGGGAGTCAAAGTTCTGAATTCTATTCCTGCCTCTGCTACTGACTTAATGTGACAGTTGCAAGCTTCCTTTTTTATATCTGATGACTCAAGTATAATGGCATTTATACTCTTCAAACCCTCAAACCTAGTGTTTAATCTCTTGTGATGAATACCAAAGTTTACACTGAAGGGCACAATGGGTTTCAACCGCTGTTCTCACTTGGGGATGAATTATAATTTGCATTAAACCAGGTAGGACATCTTTAAATGCCATCAAAATCCCTGCCCACAGGGAAAGCTTGTTTGTTTTTTGCTTCCTGGCATTTTGGATAGAAGAGCTGGAAATTACAGACCGATTCTCTTAACTAATATCAAGTTGGACAGTCTTTTTTTACAGTATTTCCATGTTCTACAAAAAATATGATTTCCTTTGACAAGGTCCAATTGCTTTGCACACTTTGTAATTTGCTATGTCTTCTGTTTTGGTCAACCTGGCATTGTTAGTATCATGGCTAACAATGTACTGAAAATGGTCGTAACTCAAAAAAGAAAATTGTAGTGATACAACCTTTTATATGGATGGGCACTAATGTAGATGGGCTCCCAAATCCTTGAGAACACATTTACTAATCTCAATTATCCCAATCCTATGAATTCTAAGGAATCACTCTTTTTCATAGGCAGAACATTCATAAAAACTCATCATGACCACTTGCTTGAATAAGCACCTGCTTGAAAAAATTGCCAGAAACACAAACTGCTAATTGTTGAAAATGTATACATCCTAGGACAAAGTCAAGCAAAAGGCCATATGACTCCAAAATAGATAGACACTTTTGACCCAGTTGTGTAATAACTCAGAGGAACAGCTTTGCTGCTCTTTCCAACAATACGTGATTCCCTGAGCTCTGAAGTAGCACAAATGCTGTTAAAGAACAATGCAACTCTAAAAGTGTATGATAATCTTCAGCTCATAAGATTCACAGCACCTCTCCCGTAGCTGCTTGATATTCCCTGAACACCCGCACTCCCTTTCACTAAACAGCATGTAACAATGTGCAAGTCTTCTGAAAAAGTGTCTGCCAGCAAATACACTCTTTTCTTGTCCAGTCTTTGGCAAAAGCAGTCC